GCACTCCAGTCTGGGCGACAGAGTGAGACTCCAACTCAAAAAAAAAAAAAAAGAATTATATGCTACAACAAGGGTGATACTTGGAAACATTATGCAAAGTGAAAGAGGCCAGACCACAAAAGGTCACATATTGTAAATTCCATTATACGACAGGTCCAGAAGAGACAAATCCAGAGAGACAGGAAGATCAATAGTTGCCAGGGGCTGGGGAGAGGAGAATTGGACTAGTTGCTAATAGGTACAGGATTTTTGAGGAGGGTAAAGGAAATGTTCTAGAATTAGATCGTGGTGATGGTTGCACAACACAGCACACACTGAATGACACACTTTAAAATGGCTAATTTTATGTGAATTATGCCTCATTAAAAAATAGCAAATGACACTGGGAAAGTTTTGAGTTGATTCTTTGATTAGACATTGCATTATAGACACAACTTCCCTAAGAACTCTCTTCACAGAAGAGACAACTGCTCAGAAATATTAATTACTTGCCTGAGTTCACATAGACACTAAGTGGTGGATTCAAGTCTACCTGATTCCAAAGTCCATATTACTCCCACTGAACAATTCTGATCTTTAAATCCTTGTCAATTTTAGGCTTTAGTTTCCTTATCTGTAAAGTGGATCATCTCTTGGTTGCTTTTGCGTTCTAATAATCATAGACACTAGTTTCCCAGGAAAAGTTCTGGGTACAAGATGGGCAAGCCATCCCAACAGTATTGATCCAATGCCCAGGATGAAACATAAACTTTAAAAATGAAAACATTTTTATGTCTGCATTGTTCCAGGCCTCCCAAACATTGACTGTCAACCTAGAAAAGATTCATTCAATGTTGCTTTTGGAAATCTACCTTTTATACTAAAACTCTGAACAACGCGATGAGTTGTATGCAGAGATCCTCTTTTCAGTACCTCATCAATTCAGGGTATAACATCTTAAATATCTTTCCCCTCTGTCCTCTCCCGGAAGCTCCAAGAACCTTGGAAGGTGCCTGTGACTGAGGCAGTATTTTACTTCTTCTGCAGGGTCCACATTTGGCAAAATGACAAAGCCACGAGGAGTTTATCTTGGGTTCAGCTCCCTGTCCTCTCCTGGCTTCCTAGCAATAAATAAGACACTGACACCTTAAAAGAACTGCATGACAGCTTATTTTATTCCTTCCTGGACACTGAATTTTCTAAGGTCATCCTGAAGACACAGTGCAATGAACGAATTATGAACGCTCTAGAAGCTGATGAGAAAAACTTTTAGGTAGGGGGTAATTTTTCTTTTTTGATTTTTGTTGTTGTTGTTGTTGAGATGAGGTCTCACCAAGAATTTTCTTAGAATTCTTCAAATCACCTTAAATATGATGCTACCACATTTCTGACTCACCTATTTAAATTATTTACCTAATTCTTCCAACATCTTGTGTCTAATTCATACATCCAAGTCCCTTTTTCTGCTCAGTAGTACTCTTTTTTTTTTTTTTTGAGTCGGAGTCTCGCTGTCGCCCAGGCTGGAGTGCAGTGGCACGCACAGCCACCACAGCATCAACCTGCTGGGCTCAGGTGATCCTTCCACCTCAGCCCCTCCAAGTAGCTGGAACAAAAGGACACCACCAAGCCTGGCTAATTTTGATTTATTGTAGAGATGAGGTCTCACCAGTTAGCCAACGATGGTCTTGAACCTCTGGACTCAGGCAATCCTCTTGCTTCTGCCTCCCAAACTGTTGGGATTACAGACATGAGCTACCATTCCCAGCTTCAGTAGGATTCTTACCCACCATTAAAATCTTGAAATTAAACTTCAAAGTATTTGAGAATAAAGAAATGGAATACAATTGTGTGATTTAGAAAAAGAAAAAGCTTCTTCTTTGTAAACAGGTATGATTAGTCTTTCAGTAGCATCCCTATCATATGACTATGTTTTTACTCTTTTCCCCCCAAATTTGAGATTTTCCTCTGGCATGTAAAATTATTAATTAAATTAACATTTATTTGAGATTGACCTTCCCAGGTAAATGAGGAAAGACTAGCGTATCCAGAAACGAGTTCTAACCTGGAAATTTCCCTCTGAAATCTGTTGTAGGTTCTTACTTCACATGGGTATTTTCCTAACACATTATTTCCTAATGCCTTCCACGAAAAAGGTAGCTTACCCAAAAATAAGTTTTGAGCATCTCCTTGGTGCTCTGTCATAATTCTTGAGACTGGGCTCCCCGAGGGTAAGAAAGAGTTGGCAGGTGAGGCTAGGGGTTTAGAAAAGCTGCCTGGAGTTTGATGACCAAGAAAGAAAGGGAAACAGCAGATAACAGAGGGATAAACACAAGGAGGTATCAGAAGGCCAAAGACACACATTATATGTCTCTGACCTGACTCTATCAAAAGGCGGCTAACATTTTTGATATTTTGACTATTTTGCCAAAACCTTTGGAAGGGACAATTTCCAGGTACCTCTGAAAAGCATCTTGGGCATTCACCCCTTGGTTACTGATCCCTGGCACACAGTGTGAGCCCACAGGGGGTGCTGCCAAGCTGAACCACTGGAAGGTGGGGAGGGGTATACGTGCGCAATTTATAGTAACTTGGATCGCCTCCACTGGGCGCTGGCCTATACGACAATGCCGTAAAAATACCATGTGCCTCAAAGAACACATAAGAGAATTCTGGATCTCAGACTTCTTTCCAAAGCAGACATTCCTGTTTTCTCTGAGTATATCAGGTCCCCAGTGTGGACAACAGGAGAATAAACACTCACCACAAGAAGATGTTTACAGATGAGTTATTACGACAGGGTCTGAGTTCTATAACATAGAACTAACTGCTAATGGCTGCCTAGCTTAACACACAGGACAAATGGAGATTGTTCTTGCCCATGATTTTCTCTCCCCTAAGAAGTAATGGGAGGCTGAAAAGCTGTTGTGGTCTTTTGAAAACCTGCTAAGCCTAATTAACCCAAAGAACTGTCTAAGGTTGTAAATCTATGGCTTGGGTTGAGAGGAAGTATCGAGTATATGCAGATTAATTTCCCAGGGAAATCTTGGCTGGGGACATGTTTGGACAGATCCGTAAGAGAGATTGGGACCCAGGTTGCCAAAGGCACTCTCTCAGTTGTTGCCTCTCACTACCTTAAATTTTGGGCACACTTCTCAGATTCCACAATCTTCCTCAGGAAGAGTCTAATTGTCCTTAGGGGACTCTGAGAATGGAAGTTTTTTGGCTGAATACTGTACTGATATGAGCAGCTGATGTCCTTAGTGTACTCATAATGCCTTTCCTGAAGATAATCAATCGACATCTTTGCTAATAAGAGAAAGAGTACGGTCTGTTTAGATGGAGGAAGATGGGGTTCAGGTACATGAGGCTTTGAAGAAATCAGGGTCTAGACTCAGAAATAGAGGTGACTAGTCTGCTCCCACTGCTGGTTGAAGGAGCAGACAGAGGAAGCCATTTTCTGTTGCCTGTCACCTCTTCTGTTCAGCACAAGTAGCCCAGGTTCAGCCAACTCCTCCTTCCTTTCCCTTATCTGGAATTTACAGTCAGGAGTATGAATAAATGAACATGTTTTTCTTATTATAAAATGGGCATATTTAATTATTTTTATCATAAAATTCAGATTGGGAGACATGTTGAGAGTGAAGAATTAATGAGGGTAAATATTTATTTGAGATTTTTTTTTCTGACCTATGACATAATATTAGTCATTCAGACCCAATTCAAATTATCAATTACCAAATCTTGTTACCACTATCTAGTTTGGTAGCGGAGTTTAAATCATACCCACCTATAAACCAAGACAGAGGTTCATATAGCCCAGAGAAAACTGAAGCCTGGGGAGTTGGTGCAAATATGCTGATACTCTTCTGCTGTTATTTCTGTGAGTTATGAACATTTTTCATTTCTAAATCAGGAGTCTGTCTTCTGCTGACATCCACAAAACTGAGATGGGCTAACTTGGTAGCTTACTAGTAAAATCATAGGTTTCTTGTTTTGCTTTGTTTTTTGAGTCAGGGTCTCACTCTGTTACCTAGACTGAAGTGCAATGTCATGATCACAGCTCACTACAGTCTTGAACTCCTGGGCTCAAGTGATCCTCCTGATTCAGTCTCCTGAGTAGCTGGGACTACAGGCATAAACCACCATGCCTGGCTAAGTTTTTGATTTTTTTTTTTTTTTGTAGATACAAGTTCTCACTATATTGCCCACGCTGGCCTGAAACTCCTGGGCTCAAACAATCCTCCCACCTCGGCCTTTCAAAGTGCTGAGATTATAGGCTTGAGCCACTGTACCTGGCAAATCATAGTTCTTCACATATAACAGGACAATACACAGAAGAATTCAGTTTATAATTGGTCTTTTTCCTAACATTAAAGCCTTTTTTTTTTTTTTGAGTTGGAGTCTCCCTCTGTCGCCCAGACTGGAGTGCAGTGGCCGCTCCCGGCCACCGCAGCCTCGACCTGCTGGGCTCCGGCGATCCTTCCGCCTCAGCCTTCCAAGTAGCCGGAATTACAGGCATGCGCTACCATGCCCGGCTGATTTTTTGATTTATTGTAGAGATGAGGTCTTGCCTGCCCAGGCGGGTCTCGAACCCGTGGGCTCAGGCAATCCACTCACCTCAGCCTCCCAAAGGCACGGGATTACAGGCTGAGCCACCGAACCCGGCTACATTAAAGCCTTAAAAGGAGCACAATTATATTTTACTCTTGACACGAATGACTAAGAACATAAACCGATATGCATCTTAAGCCAAACCAATATTGAAAAGAAAATTTTGTTAAGGCAGAATCAGAGGTAGAATTATACTAAGAGGAGTAAGAAAGAAAGTAGATATTTCACCCTACGACAGATGAAATTCAGGGCATCCGCCTCAAAGGCAACAGCTATGTTTGTGTCCATCAGCATGAAGTGCCCAACCTCCACCCTTTCCCTGGAAAAGTTCTGTGTCTTGCACCCACTGGTCCATTGGCTATAATATCCCTTCTGTGCTGAAGCAGAGCTGGTTCTTTTTCTGTGTCCTGCTAGGAGTTCCTAGGTGTAGAGAGGTGGGGATGGGGAGAAATACAGAAAATGCTGGATTAAAAGCAGCTAAGTCTGACCAGGCACGGTGGCTCATGCCTATAATCCTAGCACTTTGGGAGGTGGAGGCAAGAAGATTGCCTGAGTCCAGGCTGAGACCAGCCTGAGCAACCTGGCAAGACCTTGTCTCTACAATAAATCAAAAAATTAGCCAGTGTGGTGGTGCGCTTCTGCAGTTACAATTACATGGAAGGCTGAGGTGGAAGGATCACCTATGCCCAGCAGGTTGAGGCTGTGGTGGCCGTGGGTGTGACACTGCACTCCAGCCTGGGTGACAGAATGAGACTCTGACTTTAAATAAGTAAATAAATAAAGTTAAATCTTATGGTTAATGGAAATAATTATTTTGATTTCCAGGCAATAAAGTATCACTGATTTTTATATGTGTCTTGAAAAGTTCATGTCTCAAACTAAGAGATGTGAACTTAAATTCACAACACTTACAGCAGAGTATCACTAGGGTATTACATATTTCATCTCCAATAAGGCTTCCCTGGGAGGAAATAGAAGAACGGCCTTTTCTATCACACAGCAGTAAACGTACGTGAAGAGTCAGTTTCCTCAAAGGTTTTTGTGCACCTCATTTCTGCATGGATCAATAAAAGCTTTTTAAAGCACCCACATGCCTGTTGGAAACAGGAATTCAGAAGCTAAATGAAGTAGAAAATGCTTGATCAATGAGAGAACTGATCTTATAAAACATACTGCAGAGATAACGGGTCCTAAAAAGAGAGTTTCTAGGCCTCTATTTGCAAATGATTGCATTTCTTTATTAAGTTACCATGAGTAGATCAGAGTTTCTCATAACAATGTAAGATCAACCTGCAGCCATACACAATCAAATTAGAGCTCCAGCCACACAGCTTTGCCAACTCATGCTGATGATGTTAGTTACATTTTCCTGGTGGGGGTAGGGTTGGCGGAACCACAGGAGTGCTGGTAAAGTCAGACTTTGCTGTACATGAATGAGTCAGTCTCACCTCATCAGGAAATTGAGGGACATCAGAAAATCTACTTGGGAACTCAATTCACTTTTTTTGAGTGATATAATGTTATTTTTTTCCTGTTTATAAAATTACTACTTGCTCATTACAAATTCACTCATTCATTCCTTTGCTCATTCAAAGTTACTGAATACCTACCATATACAAGGCACTGTTCGAGGCATTTGGCAGTACAGAAGTGAACAAAGATCTCTAATCTAGCGGGGCAACAAGGCGCCATCTTGGAAGCAGGGACCATATCCTTAACTGGACACCATACCTGCTGGTACCTTGATCTTGGCCCTCCCAGCCTCTACCTACAGGAATTCCAGTGAGAGATAAGGTGGCTCAGCATACAGCAGCAGGGGAAACAGTAAGAAATCACCTGAATCATGATCAGACAAATAACACAGCTATTAAAATAAGCATCCAACTATGAAGCATTTTAGAAGGTGAGATGTGCTATGAAAACCAGAAAACACTGAATAGGATAAAGAGGCTCAAGCATGCCAGGACTGGAAAATTCTGGGTGAGATGTACAATTCTGTGGTTAGAGTAGCTCCATGGGAAAGAATACATCGGACAAAGACTTGAGAGGTAAAAGAGTTGACCATGGAGCATACGTGGGAGAAGAGTGTTCCAGACAGAGGGAACGTCCAGGGCAAAAGTGGTAAAGTGGACGCCTGCCTGAAGTGTTGGTGGGATGGCCAGGAGGCTTTTGTGGCCGAAGAGGAGTGAGCAAGGAGGGGAGTGATAGGAGAGGGGGTAAGAGAGGTAACAGGGATCAGTTTATGCAGGGATTTGTAAGGCTTTTGTGCAAAATGGGGAGCTGTTGAATTTGGAGCAGAGGAGTAAGGTGATATGATATGTGTCATGTTTTAAGATGATCCCTGAGTTTCAGTGTGGAGAATAGATGTGTTTGGGCAAGGGTAGAAGCAGGAAGGCCAGATTGAAGACCACCTATAGGAACTTCAGTGAGAGATAGGGTGGCTCACTATAGAGTAGCAGTGTAAATGGTAAGAAATCGCTTGAATCGTGAGCAGACTTGAAGACAGACTCAATAGCCTTTGCTTTTTGATTGGCTATGGGATGTGATAAGGATGGTGCTATGGTTTTTTTTTTTTTTAATTGGAGTCTCACTCCACCCCCAGGCTGGAGTGCAATGGCACGCTCACAGCCACCCCAGCATCGACCTGCTGGACTCAGGTGATCTTTCTGCCTCAGCCTTCCAAGTAGCTGAAACCATAGGCATGCACTACCATACCTGGCTAATTTTTTGATTTATTGTAGAGACGAGGTCTCACCAAGTTGCCCAGACTGGTCTTGAACCTGTAGGCTCAGGCAATCCACTCACCTTGGCCTCCCAAAGTGCTGGGATTACAGGTTGAGCCACTGAACCCGAGTGGTGCTATGGTTTGAACATGTGTCCTTCAAAAATCCTTATGTTGGAACTTAAACTGCAATGTGATAATATTAAGAAGAGGGAGTTTTAGGAGGTGATTACTTTATGAGGACAGAGTCCTCATGAATGGAATTAACAACCTTATAAAAGGGTTGGAGGAACTAGCTAGGCCTTTATTTTTGCCCTTCCATCCCTCTCACCAAGTGAGAGCACTGTATTTAGCTCTTCTGAGACAGGCAGTAACCAGGTACCATCTTGGAAGCAGAGTCCATATCCTTAATAGACATTAAACCTGCTGGAGCCTTAATCATGCACTTCCCAGACTCCAGAATTGTGAGAAATAGTTTCTGTTCTTATAAATTGCCCAGTCTGTGGTATTTTTGTTGTTGTTGTTGTTATAGCAGGAGCAATGAAACAGATGGTATCTAGGTATTTGGCTTGAGCAATTGGAAGAATGGAGTTGTCATCATCAAAGTTGTGTACAGCAGCTTTTTAGGGTTAGGGTTATCTGACTATTCTGGATGCAAGAGTTAAGTTTTGCACCCTGGAGTTAAATTTTGGATATCCTGGGTTTGAGATGCTTGTGTGGTTGTTGTGTGAACAGTTGGATATCTTTTGGAGTGAAGCACTGATACACAGATAAAAATGTGGAGGGTGTCTGCATATTGAAGGTAAAATTTCCTGAAGAGACTTTCTAGGTCAAAGTTTTTGCTGGGTCATAAGTACACTCAAGTTTTTCCACATGTACTGGCAGTCTTTTTTTTTTTTTTTTTAATTTTTGTAGAGATGAAGTCTCGCTATGTTGCCTAGGGTGGTATTGAACTCCTGGGCTCAAGC